CAGGAATACCTCGACGCCGTGCTGCATGGGATCGGTGGTGCGGTTGGACGGTTAATGGCGACGAGGTCGGTGCGGGGTAAGTCGTGTGAATCTCGTCCTTCAGGCGGCTGTCGGAAATAAGTTGCGCCGATCGTTGCCTTGCCGCCGGCAAGGGCGATCGTCGCCGCTTCCAGCCAGAACGCTCGGGCTTGAGATTGGGGTTGCCGATGGCAGCCTCCGAATAGCCATAGGAGTTCCAGAAAATGGCGAGTTTTTGACGCCTGTACCATGAGCACCGCGTACCGCAGGCCGAACGGCAGGCGATAACCCGCCTGCGCGCCACGTCGTCACGTCAGCGAGCAGTTGTTCTCGTCGCGGCGGATGCTGGCGCCTGCAGATAAGGCGTCGTCGATGGTCAATTCATACTGACCCACAAAGCCCCAATTGTCAGTGGATCGCCGTCCACCGGAAGGCAAATGACGACGGCGGGTGTTCTGGAACATCTCGCGTTCGAAATCGGCTGCGCCGGTCAATCGGTTGATAAAACGGTCGCTGCCGAAGCGATAACTCGTCTCGAACGTACCCTTGTACCTCTGGCCCCTGTCGCCGTAGCTGGAAGCCACCCCTGCGTTGTAGCCGCGCCAGGTTGTGTCGGCAACTGACCAGTCAGCGTATTCGTCCAGCGACCGTCGGCAAGCGAAAAGTTCAGCGCGGGTCAAGCCGTGAAGGCCTCGTTGACGTAACGGACGCCCGGGCTGTCGATCGTATATCCGAAGGTGGGACTGCGGGGATTGATGTCGCTGTTGTTCGTGTCAGCGGAGGTGTTGCTGGCAGGCGACGCCCGTGAGCCAGAAGAAGTCTCGGACAGCGTCCATGTTTGCTTTCCGCTCGCGCCGACGCTTGTCGATCCGATATCCCGCGTGCCGTTTCGCGCGGTTGGCGTACCGTCCGTTCGATAGACCGAACCAGAGACGGCATAATCAAAGGTGTCGGTGAAGGCCGGCCATACGAGCCCGCCGCTTCTGAACGTGCCGAACAATCCGCCTTCTGCGCGCGCAGAGATGCCCGGCGCCTCACGGCCAGTCAGCGTGATATGCTGGATCACGCCGCCGATCACATCCGATCCGCAGAGCGAGTTGCCTGGCCACGCAAAACCTCAAACGCGGCCCCCTCATCGGCGATCAGCGTGCCGGAAATCATACTCGCCATAATATGGATCAGAGGCGATTGATGCCGTCGATCAGAACCAGGACATGGTTGCCCTCGGTCCCACGGAATCCCGGATTTGCGTCAGACCACCGATCGCACCGGTGCGGCTGACCGCGACGCGAGGGAACATCGCGTAGCACGTCCAGAGACCACCCGCGTCTGACGTTCCTGCAGATCCTCACTGGTAATCAGGGTGATTGAAGCAGGCACATTTTTGACCATGATGCCGTCACCGGATCGGGATCCGGTGACGACGATGTCGTTACCTGCCTCGTCACGGGTCGGCACTGTCGGATTGCTCTGTGCAGCGCAGGTGTCGCGGCGGCAAATTACTGGCAAACAGTGATACAAATGTCTTCATTGGTTCCCCCTAAAGTTCTTTGGTCTGTCGGTCTTCTCGCTGGTTTCAGCAGTCACACCGGTGGAGCAGCTGCTTCGCTGTAGTATGCTCACGTCGAGCGCGTGATCGCTGCCATCAGGCGGCAGGCATTCCACCGTGACATGGCTGAAGCATGTGCAAAAGGCGCGCATTGCGCGCCGCAGCAAACCCGCATCAGCAACCGAAAGTCCACTGACCGATGCGATGACGGCATTGTGGCGAAGCCGACGCGCCAGGAGTGCAGATCGACGATCTGGCACCTGCCTTCTCCAATATTCGCGTATGCGATCAGGCATCTGCTGGTCTGGAATCGATCAAACAAGACGGACGCGGTGACACAGAGACAAAGGCGAGCGACCGGCGTGCGATCCACGAACGCCCGACGGCCCCATCGCCGGATCGAGCCATGACCAGTCCGCCTGACGCCCCAGGCAGCAGTGCGCAATGATGTAATATGCTGACGCTGGCATCTGGCGGGACATGCAGATAGAGGGCACGAAGGCTGTGGTCATGATGCGACGACGACTGGCCGTGGTCAGCATGCCGGTGATGAACCGCGTTGGCGACGATCCGTCGCGTGGTCGTCGTGACCGTGATCGTGCTATTGGGACCATTACAGCATCAGGACCGAAAGCAGGCTTACTGCCAGCCCGATCACCGCGACCACCAACGCCCGTCAGGGCGATCGGGACGGGGAGAAAACATCCGCTCAGGCTCTCCGCAATGAAGCCGCCGTCGAGTGAGCGCGACCGCGCTAGCGAATACAGCGAGGTCGCGCTGATCTTGCCGTCCCAACGAGGAAGGACGGGCTGTTGAACTACTGGCGCGCAACGCGATAGGCGAGAGGCGACGAACATCACCCCCGGCGTGGGTCGCCATGTGCAGGCCGTCAGCGATATGGCGCCATGGAGCCGAACAGCGCGCCGGTGAGCAGCCTCGACGATCATGGTCAAGGCACAGACGGTGAGCACCGCTGTGGTTCGCCGCGCGCGATGATCGTGCCGCTCCTTGAAAATCATGCCGGACGAAAGTGGCGCGCGCGTCGTGACCGGCAGTGGGCAGCGTGACCCGGTCAGCAGGGCGGCGTGAGCGTCAGACATCAGCCGCGACCTCGACGGCATCGCCTGCGGGCAAACGGTCGTAGGTCCGTCGCCAGCCTCGACTGCCGATCCTGCGTACGTTGCGCAATGCGTCGCAACGTGATCCGCGCTTGGCACGACCGCGTCGCGTCTGTGGCCAAGCAAATGTTTTCGGTACCAGCCCCTCGTTCAGTGCCGCCGATATGGCGTTCGACGTCCCTGTCTTCGCGTGAGCCGAAGCGGTCGAGCAGCGCAGCAAACATCGTCGTCCGAGAATCGAACGGCATTCGGCGGCCCAGCGCATCGCGCCACGGCGAACCAGGATGGAGCATCAGGACTGGCTGATATCCGTCCGGGATTGGTGCGTTCGCGGCATGGGTGCGGCCGGCGCCGAGCATTTTTGGCAAAAGATGCGTATGCGGTCCCTCCGGGCTGTCGCCGCCGGTCGCCGGAATGGCCGAAGAAGACCTCACTCCTGGCCAATGGGGAAAGGGAGCACCCTGTGTGGCTGGGCGCGCATCTCCGGCCATCGCGTCACGACCCACGTCCTCCAGCAGCGACCTGCCTTTAATCGCCCTCAGCGCCGCGTCGAGCGCGGATCGGCGGTACGGACGCAAAAATAACATGGCCGCGGCCGACACCCGGAAGTCGAACAAAGGTGCTGGTGCGATCGGCTGGCCGGAAGCGCGCCGTAGTCTGTGCCGAGCGCGCAGGACGCGCCCATGCTCCATGTCATTCGGTGAGGGAAAACAGTAAGGCGATCGTTCGCCCCAAAATATCGCCGTCGCTCGACAGCGTGTCATAGGCGACGATCCGGCGGCGATCCTGACGTCGATCCGGATGCCGCCGCGTGCCGTGATGACCTCTCGCGCGCTGCCCCGATTCCCTGATGACGGCATCTTCCCCGTCATCGCGTGGGTCGCCGACGGCTCCAAAAGACACCGATGCTCCAGCCGTGCCGGTGGTCGGCGATCATCGTGTCGACCAGTTCGATCATATCCTCATTTTGCCACCCTTTCCGTCGCACTGGCGTTTGCCCACGCGCGGTTTGCGGATCAGCCGATCGGCGGGCGGAATGATCGGGCAACTTGCGCAGAACTGCGCCCGGGGTCCTTGAAGTACAGGCAGCAAGCCCGCGCGACGATCGATCTGCCGGCGACCCCGGTGACCTCACAGGGTGGGCGCTGCTGCAGGTTTCGCGATCAAGCGATAATGGCACGCGCTTTTCACCGCAGCATCGCGGCAATTCATTTTCTCGCCAATCGACACGAATTGTGCCGCCGGAAGAGGTTGCCATGGCCCATAGGGCGTGACGCGACATGCGGGACCATACGTGCTGTGCCTCGACGACATCATCCGTGAAGCGCCGCAGATGGCGCGCGACCGCGATGCGACCGGCGGCTTTGCTCATCGGCTGCTCGATCCTGCGGCTTTGATCCAGATCACCTTCGACAAGAGTCATCTTGGAGAATTTGGCTGTAATCATCGATCCGCACGACCGGGCCGTACGCCAGCCAACTGGCGACGATATAAACGAGGCCCAGCCATGACGGAGGAGTAGCGACGCGGCGGCGCGCGCGACGGTTGGGACCAAAGCCCGCAGATACGAAGCGTGCATACCAGATCAGCCATCGGACCGGTCGCGGGATCGCACAGCGCTGCGCGATCGACCCACGCCTCCCGATCGGCCGGCGCGGTTTCGACGCGCAGATGTTCTATGAGCAGCGCGACGATCACGCGCGCTCATCCAACGACGGCGGGCTGTCAATCGCGCCGCGAGTCCACGCCCGTTCACGCCGCATCTGCCCATTGGAAACCGCGGGAAGTCGTATCGAAAGGGATCTTCTGCCAAGCCGGCATAGCGGGCGATATCGCCACATGTCGGGGCGACCCCAGTCAGGATCGTCCGCGATACGGTCCGGACCATCGAGAAACGGGTTGTCGAAATAGATCGACATCATCGCGCCACCGCTGCCGTCGCGCAGCTCGAAGCCCCAGCTGTTCGGTGCGCCCGCCGGGTCGAGCGAACGGAACAGGCTGGCGGCCGGGCATTCGTCGCTGCCATCCGGCGTATCGGGCAAAGCGCCCGGTCCGACGCAAAGGTGAAATGCGGGCCGTTGAAACCGATAGTCAGATAGCCTTCGGACAGGGCGATGCGATCCAGGCCGCCGGGCAGGTCCATTCATAGGCGATCCCGTCCGGGATCAGGCCGCCGTTCGAGCGATCCCAATGGCGGGTGAAGACATCCTCCAGAAAAGCCGCTCAGCCACGCCGTCGTAGTGGGCGCATCCAGCGCTGGGTGACGACAGCGCCGCTACATTCTGGTCCTCGATCATCGAAGTGAGCGGTTTGTCATGGGAATACCTCTGTTGAGGCGGCCGTCACGGTGGCGAGCGAATGCAGTGGCGGCAATGGCTGGATTGCCAGATCGGCCTTTGATCATCCACTCTAGCCCGTGGTCGTTCCGCGTGGCTGATTGGACGACCATGGAAGAATGCGCGCTTTTTGCTATAAATTTACCGTTTACAAACGTTCAGCCGAACGAAACGGACCGGCCCCGGAAGCGGTTACATCGTTTGGCCATTCAATCTCTATTCCGACCGCGAGCGTTCGCCGAGCAGACCGCTGTCACGACATGCGTTTGATCTTCAATCGACGCTGAGCGCCATTGTGACCAATCGTTATTTCCGCGAACCAGCCTCGACAGGGTGGCAGGACCAGCAAGGTCGTGGCCGAGAGGCCGTCGGTCGCTGCGGTGACGGGGCCCCTGCACCTGCGCGCGCCTGCCCGTTTCCGGTCGCCATGGTCAGACCGAAGCGACCAGTCGCCGTGCAACTCGCCCATCCCTAAGACGTATCCGGATCCGCTGGTCAAAATTGATCTTCTGGGAGGGGCAACAACACATGGCGGCGGCGACGTTTGAAAACGATACCGTCTGGCGATGCCTGAACCTCCAGACCGAGCGTCGCGAAATTAAGTTGTCACACGAACTGGTGCGGTGCTGCTTTCGACAATGGAATTAAAGCGCGGGGCGTGGATCAGAGACTGAATCAATTTGTCTATATGGATGTCGAAAGGGGCCCGTGCCCTCGGCGTACGTAACGGCTTCTAAAAAACCGTAACTCGCTCGATCTCGTCCCGCCACAGTTCTAACACAATAGGGAAGCGTGGGGAGCATTAGCGGCGCTGATCTGATATTCGCGGATTCCGCCCCCCACCGCCTTCGGCGACATTGACGGGAGGATCAATGGCGATTGACGCATCGACCTGCGCGCGGCATTTCTGGCAGCGGCCGGTCTTGGCTGGAGCATAGGCGCGTTCGCCCAGACAAAGGCCGCCGATACCAACGAGACCATCGTCGTCACGGGGAAGATTGGAGGACGCAACCGCAGGAACTGTCGGGCACGGCCATGACCGGTCACCGTGGACGCCACGGCGATCAGGGGAACGCAGGCGCCGTCGATCTGACCGCAGCGTTGCAGAAAGCGTTCCGGCCTCTATATCCGCAGCCAGTCCGGCCCGTTCAGTTACGCCGATTTGAGCCTGCAGGGATCGCGCAGCGGGGACGTTTGTGGACTGGGACGGTATCCGTCTCAACAATCAGCTGTACGGCGACGCTGCCGACCGACCTTACGCTGCCGGCAAGCATGATCGATGGGATTGAGGTACTGAAAGGGGGCGAGCCTGTTCTACGGCACGCAAGCGGCGGGCGGGGTTATCAACGTCGTGACCCGCGGCTTCAGCAAGCACGTTCGACGGTCAGCTCAACGCCAGCGTCGATACCTTCGGCGGCAATGCCGTCGACGGTTTTGCGCGCGCGCGATCGGCGATCATCGTTTCGTGGCATATGCCACGCATAACCAGTCACCCGGTTTTCAACCGTTTAGCCGGATGGAGCCGAGCGCCACCGACCGCAATCGCGGCTACGACCTGTCCGCCGGCCTTAAATACCAGTTCGAGCTGGCGCCCGACCTGACGCTCAACGCCTTCTGGCAGCATACCGAGGGCAAAATCGACAATTTGAGCGCGACGCGAGTGAACGAAAGCCGCAACGACCGAAACGAAGAGATCGGCAGCGTCTGGCCTGACTATACCCGGAACGACACGGTGCAGTTGTTCCTGAAGGGGTATTTCCATGACTGGAAGACCGCCTATGTCCAGATTCCTGAATCCCGTGCCCGCCGGGCCGCCGATCACGGTCTATCCGTCCGGCACGTTCTGGGGCTATCGCGACTATGGCGGTACGGCGATTGCCAAGCTGCACCTGCACCGTTACGTCGAGTATCTCGTCGGTTATGATTATCAGCGCTTCAGCGGGCGCGACGACGTGTTGCGGATTGCACCGACCGATGAGCAGGTGCATGCTGGCATCTTCCAGCTTCGCACCAATGACGAACTGTCGAAGAACGGTCGGCTGGCCGCAGGCGTGCGCTACAACAAGAGCCGGGGTGCGCAAAAGACGGTGTGGAACGCATCAGGCCGTTACCGACTTCGCCAGCGCGGTGTACTTCGAGGGCCAATGGGGGCACCTCGTTCGTTGTTGCCGACGCGTCCCAGCTCTACGGCATCGATCCTTGCTGCGGTAAATCGGCAATCCGCGCCTGAACCCGGAAGAGAGCCCGAAGCGTCAACATATCCGGTTGGCCATGCCGCGACCGGCACTGGTATGCTGCGATGGAAGGCAACCCGCTTCAAACGGCGCATCAACAATTTGATTGACACCGTCTATGACGACCCCGCTTTCCCATCGGCACCTATGGCAATGTCGCCCGCAGGGTGCATTCCCATGGTGTCGATCTTAATTGGGCGCATCGCTAGCAGGCGGCTGGACACTCGCGGCGAATTATACGCGCGCGGCTCCGCGAAAGAGGCAGTGAGGTGCAGCGCGATCGCTCACCGGAGCAGTTCGCACGTGGTTCACTCGCTTGGACGCCGGAGCGCCTGCCAGTCGGCGCGAACGTATCGGTCAACTGGGTCGGGAACGTCTGTTCGACGCTGCCGTCGTATGGACGTCGCAACTACGGCAATTATGCCGTCGTCGATACCGGCGTATCACCTATATCCGGATGCCGCCCGCAAGCATCGCCTCGGCATCAACGTTGAGAATGTCTTCAACAAAGATTACGCCAGCGTTATTATCGCCGCACCGTCAGCGATGCGGGGCGGCGGGGACGGCACGATGAGCCTGTTCCTCTACTATTTCCGGGGCGTACCGCGCACGCTGCGGGCAAGCTATGGCGTCGCCTTCTGATCCCTGTGCGGCGGCCGGTCCTCTTCCTGGCATCGCTGGCTGGGCGTCGTCGTCGGGTTGCTGATGACGCTATGGTGCCTGTCGCTGAATTCCACTTGATCCAAACGCCATCCCGCGAAATGTGCGGGGAAGTGGGGGGCAATTTGGAGTGTGGTGCGATGAAAAGCTCGCGCCTCAGGCGCTGGCATGTCGAGAGTGAGGCGATCGACCCGTATTGGCGGCGGTCGTAGGCCGCCGCGCAATGCATCCACATCCATCAAAACACAACTGTAATGCTAAGCCCCGATCGGCGTTTCCAAGATCTCGACAATCTTGTTGCCCAGCTCCGGTCATGACGAAGGGCTTGGTGACCACGGCCATGCCGGACAGATGGCTGCTGCCGACGGCCGCATTCTCAGCAAAGCCCGTCACGAACAGGACCTTCAGATCGGGGCGGATTTCCCGTACCATCGGCGACCTGCCGGCCGTTCATGCCGCCCGGCAGTCCGACGTCGGTGATCAGCAGGTCGATCGCGATGTCCGACTGCAGGACCTTCATTCCTGAAGGACCGTCCTCCGCTTCGATCGCGGTGTAGCCGGCTTCCTCCAGAACCTCGACGATCAACATTCGACCGTCGCTTCGTCGTCGATGACCAGCACCGTCCGTCCGGCCCTGTCGTCCGCGATGGCTTCGTCCGGTACCTGATCCTCTCCGACCTCATAACCGAGGAAGCGGGGCGGCACAGGCACCATGGTCGTGCCATGCCCCTCCTCAGAATAGACACGCACCTGCCCACCCGACTGGCGCACGAAACCATGGATCATCGACAGGCCAAAGGCGTTCCTGGCCGATCGGCTTGATCGTGAAGAAGGGTCGAAATCCGGTCCACGATATCCTTCAGGATACCCGTCCTGTCGGTGACACAGATCGACGAATGCTGGCCCGGCGGCAATTGGCGTTCACGCGCGCCGCGATCGTCAGCCATTTGTTGGCGGTACTCGATCGTCAGGCGACCGCCCATCAGCATCGCATCGCGCGCGCGTTGATCGCGCGTTCAGGAGCGCGCCCTCGAGCTGCGCTGCATTCACCTTGCTGGCCACAGGCCGCCGGTTCCACGACCCTCGACCTTGATCGCCGGTCCACCGTACGCCCAGGTCTTCCATCCCGAATACCAGCCGATTGACGTCGGTCGGTTTGGGATCGAGCGTCTGCCTGCGCGAGAAGGCGAGCAGCCGCTGGGTGGGGCGCGGCCCGCTGCGCCGATGTCTGCGCGCTGCCGATGAAGGATCCAGACCATCCGTCCGCCCGGTCGAGAGCCGCCGCTCGATGATCTCCGTGCTGCCGATGATACCGGCGAGCAGATTGTTGAAGTCAGCGGGCGATGCCCCTGTCACCAACTGGCTGACCGCCTCCATCTTCTGCGCCTGCCGGAGCTGTTCCTCGGCTTCGGCGAGGCGGGCCTGATCGCGCAGGCGGTCGAGACGTCGACCGCATATTGGAACGCGCCGACGAAACGGCCCATGCGATCATGCAGGCGTTGGAAACGCAGTTCGTACAGGGCCGGTCCTGTCAGGATCGCCAAATTCCTCGACGACGGAGAAATTCTCACCTTCCAGCGCGCCGCCAGATGGCTTCAGCACCGGCCGCAAATGTTCGGCATCTGCGCCATCAGGTCCGGCAAATGGTCGCCCACCTTCAGACGCACCCCGAAGATGCGCCGGAATTTCCTCAGCAGGCCGCGTTCAGCGCGAGATAAGGAACCGGATGATACCACCGCGATCAGAACGGTGGACGGTATTCTCGATGACGTCACCCAGAGCTGGCGTTCCGCGACGGCTTCCTCGACGCGAAGCCCAGCGCGTCGTTGATCTCGCGCGCAGTTGCAGTTCGGCCTGCCGCCGGGCGCTGCACGTCGTTGAACAGAATGGCGATCCGGTTCAGCTCGATGTCCGATCCACAACGCATGGACGTCGAACCAGCGTCCCATCGCGTCCGATCCGCTTTCGAAACGCGCGGCCTCATAGCGGCTGCCACCTGTCCGTAGCGGTCGAACCAGAATTGCTCCAGTCCGGGTACCAGCTCCCGCGCGGTGCGACCGGCGGCATGAAGGAGGCCGGTCTGTTTCTCGAAGGCGGGTTGGCCTCGATGAAGCGGTAATCGACGGCTTGGTCACCATCGAACAGCACCTCCGCAATGCAGAAGCCGACCTCGATCGTCTCGAAGAGCGTGCGATAGCGCTCTTCGCTGATCCGCAATGCATTCTCGGCTTCGCGTCGTCGATGTCGATGACCGAGCCGATAGCCGAGGAATACGCCATGCGCGTCGAAGCGGGGCGACGCCGCATCGATCGCCCATCGATAGCTACTGTCCCGATTGCGAAGGCGATATTCCAACCGGAACGCCTCGCGCGCCGCATTGGCCGCGCGAGGGAACATGTCGCCCGACCAGCCCTTGTCGTCCGGGTGACGGCGTCCAGCCAGCCCAAAGCATGCGGTGCATCTTCGCTCTGGCCGGAACTCGTACCGGGCGCGGTTGGGATGGGTGCAGTGCCATCGGCATCGGTATTACATCGCGGCCGAGGCGCGGTCGTACGTATTGCCGGAACCGCGCCTCAGACTCGCGCGCAGCGCGGCGTCCCGTGCGCGACTGGCGGTGATGTCGCGGGCCTCGATGATCGTCGACGGGCGCTCATTCTCGTCGAGAGAAGCAGGCTCGCGGTGAACCGGACCAGGTAGAAGCTGCCATCCGGCGGACGAACAGCTCTTCGCCGTCCATCACGCCCGTTCGGGGAATGCCCGATCGATCAGGCATTCTTCCAGCCAGATAATGTGATCACCGTCGGGCCGCGTATGATGGACCACATTGTGCGGCAGCCGCCCTTCATCTGGGCGACGAATATCCTCAACGTTCCGCCGCGGCGTTCCGCATAGACGCATTGCTGCTCATCCATCAGGAACACGGCCATGCGGGTGTTGTTGGGGACCGCATCAGGCGGCGTTGCTCGCGATGGGCTGGTCCGCCGCATTTGCGGCCAGCGATCTCGGCCTCCAGCCACCGGTGCATTTCCTCGCATCGCGATCTCATAGCGCAGGTCGAGTTGCGCCGCGGACCTGCCGTGCCAGAAGTTGCGGCATTGACGCTGCCGCTCCGTGATGCCGTCGGAGTCAATCGTTCAACGGCGTGCGCTGGCGAGATGCGGACTGGCCCGCACAAGGCGTTGTATAACCGCTGGAAGAGGCGTGTTCACGCGGATGACCGGCTGTCGCCGCCGATCAGTTATGATCGACGCGACTTACCTGAAGGTGCCGCAAGATGGTCTGCGGGTTAAAAGGGATCAGCCGCCTCATCAAGTCCGGTGGGCAGCATGAAGGCAAGCTCCATGCGGTCGCCGACGCGAACGGACGCCCGTTGAGCTATCACTGCTCGATGATCTGCCAAAAGCACGGTGCGCTGCTCGATGCCGCGGCTATGATGGCGGGTGACGTTCAATGGTCTGGCGGCATCAACCCTGTATCGACGAAAATCGGTCAGGTCCATACGATGGCGGTACCAACGACGCAGCCGCATCGTCGATATGATGTTCCGCCCACTACACGACTGGCGCCGCGTCGCCACCGCTACGACCGCTGCTTAGGTCTTCTCGGCCATTGCCCTCGCGCGCGATCCGATCTTCAGGCTTCGAGAGGAGACCTAATTGAGCGCGACCTGTACTGGCTGACGTCCGATTGCAGATGGACGGTGATCGGCCTTTTTCGAGATATTCTTGCAACTATGACAATATGCTGGGTGGGGATCCGTTAATAACAAAAGGAAAGTCGAGCCATCATTTTATCGTGTTCGTCAAACGGGAATGGGATGCTGATGTAAAAGCATGATATTTCGGAATGTGTACCTCATCGACGCAACACAATTTAACGTCTGTCGACCTGGCGGTGTTTCGACTGGTTGATGCCGCAGGGCGATGGCAGCGGTGGTTCAACCTGACGGTCGACTATTACAACGTCAAGAAGTCGAACCTGATCGTCAACGGGCCGCTGCGCATGCCCGCTGGATCGTCGATATCAATCCGACCAATTACACGACCGGCCGACGCTGATCGGCTATGTCAGCCCTTGGATAGGACCCATTGAAGGAGGCGCGATCGCCAGTTGAGAGAAAAAGACTGTGTGAGCGACCCGTACGGCTGGACGGACGATCGTGGGCCCAGCAAAGCTGCGCGTGGATCAGTGCAGCGGTATCGTCAATCGAACGGGCTGCGCTGGCGATCCATACAAGATGCCGAACGCGCTGGAAGCGTCTGCGAGGTGTTCACGCGGATGATGGAGGGCCGCGTACGCCGAGTCAACGGTTATGATCGACGAACCTGAAGGTGCACCGCACGGCACAGCTCGGTTGTAAGGGGATCGGCATCGGGCGTACTGGCGGGTATGAACACTGGTACGCGATGACGCCTTCAGGCCTGATGATCTGCCAAAAGCGCAGTGGCTGCCCGTGACCGCGGCTATGATCAGACGCACAGGGACGCCCCCGCGCATCCAGCTTCGTATCTCAGTCGGAAAATCGCGCACCAGCCAGCTGACCCCGGCGGGCGTCGAGATGATGTTCGGCTGCTCGAAAGACTGCCGCGTCGCCAATTCCGCTACGACCGCTGCCCCACCGCCTTTCTTCCCAGGTCGCGGCAAACGCCGTCATCCGTGGATCAACGAACCCTGACCCTAATTGCTGCTCATACACTTAAACTTTACGTCTGGATTGCATCAATCAATAATTCTATCTCCCGATCCCGTTACGACGACCCTCTGTCCATCATGTGGGTCGGATCATAATTTATGCGAAACGGCGGAGATGCGGACAGATTTCGAATGGGCACCCCATCGACGCAACAACGGCATTTTAACGTCTCGGTAACTCGAACCTGTCGTCTGGCGAACAATCGATGGGGGAATGCCAGCGATCCGCATTTTACCCTGCGGCAGCGACGTGAATGGCTGTCCCGGCAACCAGTGCTACATCCGACCAGAGCGTTCATCCTGACCACCGACCTGAACAACGCCTGGGCGTGCGGGTGAACGATCGGTTTGCGACTTCTTCAACATCCAGAACGATCCGACTAACGCCCGCGCACCGTTGGCGGCGGCTGCGGCGTGGCGATGCGGGTTCAGCAACCGTCTGATCGAACTATCTGCTGAATGACGACGGCTGGCATTATGCCGGTCTCCGTCGGTCGTACCGCAAATTCCAGCGCCGGCGCGAACGGCGGCGGGTTTAAGAAGAATTCTGAAGATCGTCCGCCGATGAGGCCAGCGAGGCATCCGGAGCGGCGATCATTAACTTATGAACGGCGTCGATGACGGGTATATCACCATGGGGTTACGTTCAACACGATAGCGGCCTGGGGGAGATGCCGCTGCTCCCGGCATCCGGCGGTCGTGACCGTCCAATCCGCAACAACCCGCTGCCGGCTGTGCCGGCGCCGATAACGGCAATCTCATCAATCCCAGGATCCCCTTCGGCACCGACGGATAAGGTGGCCTGCAATTTTCACCTATCCCACGGCGCGTCTGAAGACGGCAATCTTATTTCGTACCGAGGAAACGAGGGGGCAAGGTCATGAACGTTCGGCGTGGCGGCGCTATGGCAGCCCCGGATCGTCTCACCATGTATGTTGCGCCGAATATGTGTGTCGTCGGCTCAACCCGTTCGTCACCCCAATTTGCGAGGTGCGGCGCGCATCTATTATCTGCGCTCCAGGCTCACTGTCGATTCCGCGCGATCCCATCCCTCTCGGTGTATCGCAACGGGACCCAATCGCTCGCCCGCGGCTTTAGGCCTGGATGCGACAGGCTATGTCGGGAAAAACACGGCGGCGGCGGTGGTGCGCAACCAGCGCTGATCAGCGCGACAAGGTGACCCTGACCCCGGCATCCTCCGCGGATCGATCCCGCGCCTGCCGTTGGACCTGAACATGGGAAAAGAACCGCTAGATCTTTTCCCGTGACCTTCGACTTGAACATCCCCCATCATTCGCAGGCCAAACTGGGCGGTATCGCCCGTTCACGGTGATCAACATGTCGGCCAGCAGCGGCGGGCTGATGACGATCGTCTTCTTCGCCAATCCGGCCTTATCAGGTTCGCAGCGCGACGGTTGCCCGACATCCTGCCGGAACCACGACCTTCGCACGCTGGTCAACCTGACGGTCGACTATAAGAAGTCGAACCATCGAGCGCGCTGACGCTGGAGACCTCGATCCTGCGCGAGAACAGCCAGTTGCGCGGGTTTCTGGTGACGGCGGACACCGAGCTATCTCAAGGCCAATCCGCCTTCGAGCTGGCGCGAACGGCGCGCAGGGTATGGCACGTCACCAGCCGCTCGGCTGTCCGCGATGCTGAACGCTTGACCCGGCGGTACGCCGCATCCGTGGCAAATCCTTCGTTGGAGATCGCGCGAAATTAGGCGACGCTGGCGCCGCCAACGTGATCGACCTGTCGCAAGCCGGTGCTGACCGCACGGGTGAGGGCGGGCGGCGCGACAGTTTCGCGGCAGGCAGTGCGCCCGATGCGGGCGGCGGCGGTGCTGACCAGCGCCATTATGCTGGTTGCCGCTGCGCGAATGCGCGACCATGAGGCATCGGAAACCGCCGCGATCAAGATGCCGCAATGCCGCGTCGCAGGGCGCGCGATCGGCACCGACGGATAAGGCGGCACCATCGCGCTGATACTGAGCGGCGTGATGCTGATCGAGGGTCGCCATCACGCTCCAGTTGTTGCTCAACCGCAGTATCGCCCGGCGCGATCACCACGCTGAGGACCCAATTGATGGCGGACTGATCGCGGGCGTAACGACATCGCCGTGCCCGGGCAGCAGGAACGGGGAAAGAACGCGGCGACGAACTGAACCGCGACATGGCGTCGGCGGCGGTGATGACGATGGTCGTCTTCCGCGACGCGCCAAAGGCCAAGGTCGCGATGACCGGGAGCGGCGAACAAGCCCTGCAGGCGATCGGCGCAGGCCTGCACAGCCTGTCCGAGGCGGACTTGACGGCGCGGCTCACGACCTGCCGCCGGCCTTTCATCAACTGGCCCCGGGACTTCAACGGCGCGGTGCAGAATCTCAGCCTGACCAGCGACGTACGCGGCAGCGCAGGCGCGATCCGCTCGAACATCGAGGAAATCCGCCGGGCGACCGACCATCTGTCGGCGCGCAGCGAGCAGCAGGCAGCCAGCCTGCGCGAGACGGCGGCGGCGGTGGGCGAGATCACGCAAGGGGTGCGCGACGGCGCGGTCAATGCCGGCAGGCCAATCGCGCGGTGACCGAGGCGCGCAGACGAGGCCGAGAAGGGGGCAGATCGTCGCCAAGTCGATCACCGCGATGAACAGCATCGACCGGGCGAGCCGCGAGATCGTCGACATCATCCTCGTGATCGACGGCATCGCCTTCCAGACCAACCTGCTGGCGCTCAACGCGGGCGTGGAAGCGGCGCGCGGGCGATGCGGGCAAGGGCTTTGCGGTCGTCGCCTCCGAAGTGCGCGCGCTGGCGCAGCGCTCGGCGGATGCGGCTTCGGACGTGAAATCGCGCATCGTATCGGCGATCGACCATATCCGCTCGGGCGTGACGCTGGTCGACGAGACGGCAATGCCCCAACGGATCATCGGCAAGGTGTCCGACGTCAGCGCGGTGGTCGATGTGATCGCCAAATCGTCGGAACAGCAGGCGCACAGCCTGAGCCAGTCAACATCGCCATCGGCGAGATCGACGCGGTCACCCAGCAGAACGCCGCGATGGTCGAGGATCCACCGCCGCCGCCACCATGCTCGCCAAGAATGCGGCACCCTCGTCGCCTCCGTCATGCGATCCTTCCATGTCGATACGGCCGGGGGCGGAAACAGAATCTGTCCGCCGACAATTACCGGTCCGAGGGTTTCGCAGGTTCGCCGGCGATCCGGGCGGCTTGATATCGATCGAATGCATTCCGGGCCGATAGCGATCCATGCCGGTCAGGCGGGCGCTTCCCTATCCGGAGCACCGCCGTCACGATCTTCAGCAACTCGGCTCTTTGAACAAGGGATCTGCCACAAACCCTTCCGGCGACGGCGTCGTGAACGCACCTGTTACCGAAGACGCCGTGACCCTGTCGAGCGGATCGGAAAGAAGCGCGGCCTAGCGTATTGACGGCGGTGAAGGCGCAAATACGCGCTGCGACACAAGGTTTCGAAGGCGGCATTGTCCGTGTGTTTTTCCGGGAAGCACATGCTGCAATCGCCAAACGCCGCGGGCAGTGATGATGGGCGCCGACTGGCGCCTTTCAGCGAAGACGGCCAGCCTGTCGGCCTGCGCGCGAGCGTCGGACGGAGGCGCATGGAGCGTCCCCAATATGTCATTAAGGTGGCGTTCCTGTAGGGGTCCAAATACGCGCTTGTTCGGGAAATATTGATAGAGCGTTCCGATGCTGACGCCCGCCTTCTCGGGCAATTGGTGTTGAAAACGGTCGAGCCCGCGACTCCGCAAAATGTGGAGCTGGAGGCATCGATGATCGCGCGTCGATCGTCGCGCGAGAACGCGCCTGTTGGGGACGTTTTCCGCATGTCCGCCACTGTGCACGAAATGGTTGAGACCGCCTTAGATATCGACGCGCAGCGAACGGCGGCTTCCGGCCTGATTAGACAAAGGGTTCGTCGATGCGCTGGATCCGCATATCGTTAGCCGAGAAGTATCTGAAAGAAAGGCCGCTTGGCCTGCCCAAAGCTTCCGATTTGGAGATCGTCCTCAGTTTCTGCCACGGATGTGCATGGCGATTCTGATCGGTAATATCCCCGTCATTCGGCTGATGATCAGCGACGGTGCCGAGGCCATCCCGGTATCCTGTTTCCGGTCCTCGCCCCCTGGCGATACCTTGCCGGGCGAGGCGCTGACGGTGCTCGCCGCTCCTGAGGCACAGTGGCTTCGGGTCGGCGACACTGTCGCACATGAACGGCTGGCGCGAGTTCGCCAATGGTCTCGGCGGCGCAGTGTCGCAGGATCCGAAACGTCCGATGCTCTGGGCGATATCGCCAATCTCGGCCATGGGGTTGGATTGCCTGCGCCGCACTGACCCGGCAAAGCGGATACGGCCGACCGATACCGTGTTCGTTTCCCAGTGCGGCGGGCGCGATCGGGTCGATGGCGGGCAGATCGCCCGCTTGTTTCCGGCGCGCGCCTGTGATCGGCAGCACGAGTTCACAGCGCAAGGCCGACTGGCTGGTCGAACGCTGGGCTATGACGCGGCGATCCGTCGCGGGAGGGCGGGGGCGATCGTCGATCAGTTGCGCGAGGCGGCACCTGATGGCGTGGACGTGGTTCTCGACATGGTCGGGGCGGAGCAACTTGACGGTGACTGTGGCGAATGAGGGCGCCCGTTCGTGTTGATCGGCGGTCTTTCGGGACAGCCGCCGCTAGTGGAACGGGCGGCCTCGCCGGTCACGCTCGACTCCACCCAGATCGTGCTCAAGCGGATCAGCCTGAAGGGCTATAGTGCCGATGACGATCCGGATGCGCGCGAGGAATGGCCGGCAAGGCTGGCGGCGTGGCTGAAAACGGGGACATCCATATCGCCCATACGCTGATCGAAGGACTGGATCAGGCGCCCGCAGCCCTCGGAGGCGGCCGCCGCGGGTGAGCATATGGGCTCCGTCATCGTCCGGCTTTTGATCTCGACGATGCGGGCTTTTAAATCGGCCGCGATCGCTATGCGGCGATGGCGGTATTCACGGAAGGTTGGACGTCGCGGGCTCAGTTACACCAGCCGACATGCGATGAAGGTCAAGACGCGACGTCCAGACCACACGGCGCGAACCGGCTGACGCCCGGCCGCCGATCGGCTTCGAGAACGCAGGGGTAGGGGAAATTTCGGTGCTGTAGGTCATTGATCCCCACCCCCGCGCCGTGCTGCCACCAAGCCTTGCCCAATCTCCTGTCCGACGTGGCGGAGACCATCGAACCACAATAAGCTTGACCAGATGTCCTGCCGGCCACGCTTTCCAGCTATCGACGGCGTTAGCACCATCGAGCAGGCGTTGCGGCGTGCCGGCAAGGGGTATGTACGCGGGCGTGAAAGGCGACCATCGCGTCGCTCGTGGACGATAAGCCGGTTGTGGCCGTCAGGCCGCCGCAATGCGCGCGCAGTCGATCAACACAACTGTAATGCTGAGGCCGTATCTGCTTGGTAGCTTGAGCGCTGCGGCTCGGATCGCCGACCGCCCCGCCGTCCGACTCAACCTTCGTTGCTCCTGCCGGTGGTCGTCGTTCCAGCGTAGAGCTGGAAACGACGGTTTCGTCCTGATCCCAGGCTGTTCCATGCGCCTGCACGGCTGGGCTGAGGGGCGCTATTCGCCCTGAACGAACGGCGGGTTTTGGGGATCGTCTCAACGGCGTTGAGGGCCGCCAAATGGGTCAAAGACACATCACAATTGTATCAAGAGATATTTGTCTATCGCAAAGGCAGGCATCATCTTAACCCCGCTTGACCGCAACCATCTACATTATTCCTGCGTCCGGCAGGACTATCGCAATGAAGTCCTGAATATATTCAAATCAAATAATGGTGTAAATGGCGTAGATTGATCCAAAGCAATCTAACAAAATCTCTCAGATCGATCCGCTTATCATGACGTTCGAGGAGGTTAAAAGCCTTGGCGTTCATAGTAAACGCTTATTTACCGACCCGGCGTAGAACGCTTTCGAGGGAGGGAGCGGCAGACAAAGACATTGAAATCGCTGGCGACGATGCGAGTATGCGTGGCATGCTGATTTGGTGGCGTGTTTCGTCGCGCTGGGTTCGGTGGTGACGGGCGTGATGCTGGAGCAATCGGCCAAGACGCGGGCGGAGACGGGGGCATCGTCGCCGATCAGGTGACGGCCGAAATCCGCACCCAGTTCGAACGCCCCATCGGCATCGCCGGTGGGCTGAAGGCAGCGATCGCGCGGCGGCGGGGCGCAGGGCATTGCCAGCCAGGAGGCGCATAACGGCATCCTGAAATCCACGCTGATGACCAACTGATCAGATTTTGGATCGGATCGGGAGCCCAATGCCTTTGACGGTCGAGACGCCAGTTTTGCCGGTACGCCCGGCTATGATCGTACCGGTCGCTTCCTGCCCTATTGGCATCATGCGGGCGATGACGCGGCGGTCGAGCCGCTGACCGGCTGCGGAGAAGCCGGGCAGGGCGACTGGTATCTGGTCCGCGCCAGACCGGACGGCCCCTGATGTAGGGGGCCGAGCCTGTATGGTGGCGGGCAAAGAAGACGCTGATGGCCTCGGTCGTGCTGCTATCAGGAACAGGGACGCACGGTCGCGGTGCTGGGCGTCGATCTGGGGCTGGGCGACCTCTCCAATCGGATCGGCGCGATTCATTTGCCCTTGCGACGGCAATGTCGAGGTTTTGTCGGAAAAGGATCTCTGCTTATACACCAGCGACAAGGCGGCGCTGGGCAAGCCGGGGTTGCATTTCACGCCGGGCTATTCGGTGGTCGACGACCAGGCGATGGGGAAGGTCATCCAGATCATACGCCCGATCCGTTTCGACGGGTTCGACCGCGGCTGGATCGTGCGCGTGCGTTTGCCGATGAGCGCGGTGCTGGCCGATGCGCGCCGGTGGAACTGGTCCTCCTGATCTCGGCACTGGTGATGGTCGCGGGACTGGCCTTCGTGCTGCGCCGCATGTCCAAGCGGCTGGTCGGCGATCCGCTGGCCGATCTGTCGGCGGAGATGGAGCATGTCGCCCGGGCGATCTGAGCGATCCGGTGCGCGCGGACGCCAAGGCGCAGGAGATCGCCAAGATGCGGATGGCGGTCGACGTGTTTCGCCAGACGGCGCGCGAGAAGCGGGTCGCGGACCAGAATCAGGAACAGGTCGTCACCAGCTCCGGCCGACGCGCTGCAGGGGCTGGCGGCGGGCGATCTGTCGACCAGCTGACGCGCAGTTCAGCGGCGAATATCAGCGCATCCAGAGCAATTTCAACGATGCGGTCGGTCGCCTTGCCGATGCCATGAAAAAGGTGGCGAGCAGCGCCGGCGACGTCAGCGCCGGATCGCGCGAGATCAGCGTGGCGGCAGAACGATCTGTCGCGCCGTACCCCGGCAACAGGCGGCCAGCACAGGAGGAGACCGCCGCAGCGATCGATGAGATCACCGTCACCATCCGCCAGACGGCCGAGGACGCCGCGCGTACCAACACCGTGGTGGGACAGGCCCGTGCCGAGGCCAAACGCTCGGGCGATGTGGGTACGCCGGGCGATCCTGTGCGATGGACGGCATCGAACGGTCCTCCGCCGAGATCGCCGACATCATTTCGGTGATCGACGGCATCGCCTTCCAGACCAACCTTCTCGCGCCAACGCGGGGTCGAAGCGGCGCGCGCGCGACGCGGGCAAGGGCTTTTGCCGTCGTCGCCTCCGAAGTCCGCGCGCTGGCACAACGCTCGGCGGATGCCGCCAGGACGTCAAGCAGCGGGTGACCGCTCCACCGCGCATGTCGAGGCCGGCGTTGGCCCGTGTCGGAGACGGGGCGCTCGCTCGACCTGATCATCGAACGGGTGGGTGAGATCGAGGGGCTGGTCGCCGGAATCACCTCGGCCACCCAGCAACAGGCGGGCGGACTGCAACAGGTCAATATCGCGGTGTCCGAGATGGACGGCGTGACCCAGCAGAACGCCGCCATGGTCGAGGAAACCACCGCCGAGGCGCGCAACCCGGCCGCCGAGGCCGAGGTGCTGGCCAGCGAAGTCGCCCGCTTCCGCCTGAGCGAGGACGGACCGGTCGCGGCGCTGGCCTCACGCCATGATGGCTTTGCGTCGGGACGCGCCCGCCCGGCAAGCGCCGCGCGCCCGTCCGGCCCCCAAGCCGGCCGATCCGCGGTGGCCGGCAACACGGCGCTGGCGGTGTCCAGCAACGACTGGTCGGAATTCTAACCGTTCATTGGCCGGCGGCCCCGGGGGGGGAAGCTGGCCGGTCATTTCAAAGCATAGCGGCATCGGTGTGCCCGATGGCGCGAATGGCGGCGCGTTGAGCCCAGCATCGCTGGCACACTCGCACCGAACAGGGTATCGCGACGTTCCTATCTTTCGCTGCCCCGGCGACGACCTTTGTTCGCGGCCGATACATCCATCCCCGCCAGCCGACGGGATCACTGCGTCGGTGGAGGTTCATTCCGGCGGTCCGCCGATGACGGAGGCTGGACGCTGTCACCGGCCGATGTCATGCCCGACGACATGGCGTTACCGGCTTGGGTCGAGACGCCCGAGGTGGTGAGCCCGCCGACCTGGCAGCTTATCGCCAGCGCCCCGCCTGAAGCTGGGGATCGGGGAATGCGCGGGCGGATCGACATCCGCTTCAACGACGTCAATGGCGCAGGGGACCGGGCGACCTCGACCCACGCCTGTTCGATACGCTGATCCTCAGCGCCAATTATGACGGGCTGCGCTTCTTTCGTCGGCCGATTACCGCTTCTACGGCGGTAATTTCATCTATGGCCGGCGCAACGGCTATCAGGGCTATCCCGGCGAGATCAGTTCCTGTCCTATGCCTATGCCGGTGCCAAGCTGTCCCCGAACGACCGGGACGGTCGGCATCCAGCCAGTGCCGTTCGACGACCGCTATTGGGGTCGTCTCGGTATAACAGCCCGGGCTTGCCTACGGCCCGGAAGAGGCTCCATAATACCGGCATCAGCTATACGCATAGCGACGACCGGGTCAGCGTGTCGGCGGGCTTCTTCCCCGTCGCCGGTCCGCCCGGCATCGGCAACAACCGCGACAGCGCGCGCTTCTTCGGTCAATATCGTCCGGGCGATCCCTATCTGCCCCTTCGCCTCGCGCAATGCCGAGCGCAACATGGCGATCGGCAAGGTCCGCTGCCGCTGGCGAGCACCGCGCGCGGGCAGCTCAGCGTCACCGGATCGGGCTGGGCCTCGCAGGTTCACAGTTTCGACACTGGCGAGAATGGGTCGCGCCATGCCTTCGCGCTCAGCCTGAAGGACGACCGTCGTCCGCTGCGCTTCAAAGCTGCTCGCCGCGCATCAGGACATCGATCCGCGCAATGCCGAGCGCAACGACCTGATCGCGGTTGGCGACTATGACTTTTCCTATAATATCGCCGCGAAGGGAACGCTGACCTTTCGCCGAGATGGGTTACGCGGTCGATACCGGGTCATTTCCTTCAGCTTGGACGTCTATGCCAGCTATGCCCGCGTCCTGAAAAAGGCCGCCTTCGCCGATACGCAGCGCATCAATGTCGGCGCCTTCTGGAACGACAAGGCGAGTAAGCGTATCCGCATCTGACGGAGATGCTGGTCGGCCGGAACGACCCCCTTGCGTCGGTGCTAACAATTTACCTCGGCGCAGCGCAAGGGGCGATAACCGATGGAAGGCGTCATGTCCTGATGATGTTCGGCTATTATATGTAACACTGGCTTTATGCAGCGGCGTCCTGATGTTCCATTAGCCGAAAGCACGGCTGTCAAAGTCAAATATGAATTTTGCTTTGAATGACCTTTGATGGCGCCTGCCGCTTGAACGATTCACAAAGGCATTATCGGTCGGCTTGCCGGCCCTGCTGAAGCCCAACGTCACCTGGTTGATGTACGCCCAATGGTCGAGCGCCCGTAGGAGATAAAATCCGGCCCGTTGTCCACGCGGATTTTGGTGGGCGAAGATCCGCGATCGAACAATAGGCGGTCGAGCACGCTCGACGACCTGCTCGCCCGTGAACTTCGATTTTTCAGGCAAAATCTCCGGTTCGCTTCAGCTTCGACTTTGCCAGATTTCTCTCTCATTCTCAATGGAGGCATTTTTCGGGACGGGGCACGGTCCTCGGTCCGTGCCCTGCCGTTTAAGTCGCTTGCAAAGTTTGAAATATCTGTTCGAGGCGGTGGCGTTTCGCGGACCATCCGGCGGCGCGGATCGTTGACCGGCGATGGCGAGTGCCGCAAACCCAAATATTCCACACGGTCGGCATGGCGGCCGCGTCGGTTGCTGATCACTCGTTCGGCGATGGCGTTCGCCCATGGCCGCGAGATGGTCGAGCGCGCCGTCGCTTATGGCGTGGAGATCGTCGAACTGCCTGGCGACCGTCTCAACGGCCTGCCTGATGACCCGCGCCAAGCCTTCCATGCCGCCGCCAAGTCAACCTGGCCGTGGTCGTCGCACCGCCCCTCCGCGAAAGCTGCAGCCGATCGCCCTGAGCGCCGACTGGCGGTCGATCTGGCGGAGGGTGCCCGGCACATTGCAGCTATTGCTATCTCGCCGGTCGTTGAAGGCCGCCGATCACCCGCGCCTATGCCAATCTCGACGAGATACTGGAGAGCCTGCCGGCCTATTCCGGGGCAGGGGACCATCACCCGCGCAATCGCGACCGGGTGCATGAAGGTATTGACGTTCGAGGCGTCCTGCTATACCGATCCGCTTGCACTGGAGCCGATCACCGGATCACTGTCGCGCGCCATTGCCGGGTTCGGGCGATGGGAGGCGCCGGTCCAGTTGCGCTTCACGACCAAATTCGCCGATGTCGCGCCATTGCTCGCGCTCGATCATCAGGGGCGGACGCGGATGCGGGCATCGATCAACCCCCGTCTGTTTGCGCGTTTCGAGGGCGGAACCTCGCCGGTTGCAGAGCGGCTGGTGGCGCTTCGGCGGATGGCGCTGGCGGGCTATCCGGTCGGGCTCACCATCGCGCCGATCATCGCGGCGGAGGGCTGGCGGGAGGCCTATGGCGCGTTGCTGGCGGATGCGGGTGCCGCGCTGGCGGATGTGCCGGGGCTCGACCTGACCGTCGAACTGATCACCCACCGCTTCACCAGCGGATCGAAGACGGTGCTTGATAGCTGGTATCCCGGCTCGGCACTCGACATGGGATCGGCCAACCGTACGACGAAGCGGACGAAGTTCGGCACCGAGAAGCAGGTCTATGATGCCGAGACGATGCGCAGATTGCGTCGGTTTTTCGAGCGGATCGCCTTGGCGCTGCCATTTGCGCGTATCCTCTATTGGACATGACGATCTTCTTCACCGCCGACACCCATTTCGGCGACCACCGCACCATCAATATCCAGAAGCGGCCCTTTGCCAGCGTCGGCGAGATGGATGCGGTGTTGATCGAGCGCCGGAACGCGATGGTCGGGCCGGACGATATCGTCTGGCATCTGGGCGATGTGGCGAGGCGGGCGGCGGATGTGCCCGCACTGCTCGACCGGCTGCACGGCACCAAGCATCTTCTGCGCGGCAATAACGATCCCGATGCGACCTCACCGCGATAGGCTGGGCGAGTGTCGGCGATTATGCAGAGATCGTGGTCGATGGCGAGGCGTTAGTCCTGTGCCACTATCCGTTTCGTAGCTGGAACGGGCAGCATAGGGGCACGCTGAACCTGCACGGGCACAGCCATGGCCGCCTGAAACCCATGCCCCGTCAGTTCGATGTCGGCGTCGACGTTCAGGAATTTGCTCCGGTAACGCTGGGCGGCTTCTCAGGGCGACCAGAAAGGTGCGATAGGCGGTGTCATGTTGAAGACACGTATGAAGCGGATCGCGGACCACCCGTGCGGCGGCGGCACGAACGATCGCCCTGATCGAGGCATCGGTCGTCGCGCTGAGCGATGACGATCTGCTCGATCTGGCGGATATATTTTCCGGTGCATCGCCGTCGCCGCTGGGGGAGATGGCGTCGGCGGAAATGGCGAAGCGGCATCGCCCTGTAAGGCCCGCCGATGGTCTGGCGGGGACATGATCAGAACCAGGATGATCCAATGGCGGCTTTTGACGACAGCTTCGATCCCGAACTCGGTGTGGCCTGCAACCGGTTGGCGGCTGGGTGGAGTCGCTGCCGCAGGATGCGCTGATCGATCCCGCGTCGCAATTGGGGAGCAGGATTTGGCGCTGATCCTGCGGCATCTTTTACGCGACGCGGCTTGACGCCGTGGGCGAAAGAGCCCCCCGTCCAGACGGCGCCGCATCCCGCGCCGCGCGCGCGTCGGTGCCGGTGACCGCGAAAACTGACCCCGGGGCACGGCGGTCGCGTCCGAATGGGGCGCTTGGCGGGTATCCCTTTTGGTTTCTCAAAGGGCTCCACCGCTCGTTCTTCATCCTGATGAAGCCAGAAACCGATCGGCGGTGGTGCGCAGCGACAGCGCCATGATGGTCAGCGCCGGATTGGCCGCCAGCGCGCTGGGGAAGACCAGTATCGCAAATCCACAGATTGGGGATGTCGAAGCTGCGCCCCTCCGCATCGACCACCGCCTCGTCGCCATGGTGACCCATACGGCAGGTGCCGATCGTGTGAGCGATCGACCGCGAAGATATCCACGGGCACCGGCCGCTTCCCAGATGGCGGTCATGGTCTGGCGGGCGTGGCGATCGATCGCCTGCTCATTCTCATGATAGCTGAAATCGATCCCGGCCTTGCGATGGCCAAAGGCGTCGGTCTCGTCGGATAGGGTCAGCCGGTTGTCGGAATGCGGCAGGTTCGCCATTGATGCCGATCCCGGCCATCCGATTATAATGGTGCAGGATCATTTGAAGGCGCGTGCCCCACATGCCC